TGTAAAGATTTCTTTCCATCAGAAGATGCAGAAACATTTTTCCCCCTGGAGCAAATGAATACGTTTCTCATGCACCCCCAGTTTCTTCCCTGCTTTCTCCCCCAGGCGCCGGTGTAGACGGCCGCTGTGGACTTTTTTCCAGAGATGAGAAGTAAAAATTTGTACTTTATCGGGAGCGGGTGCACTTTTCCCCCTGGCCCCCCTTTGCTCTGCCTCCAAGATGGTAGGAAAGTTGTCGTTTCGGAGGGCAGAGGAGCAGCTCTCTGGTGTTATGTCCTCGCAGTGCCTGTAGTGGTGCTGTAGGAGGCTGCTGCCTCTTCTTGTACAGCCCCGGCAGCCCTGCCTTCTTGGCTGGAGAGTATATTCAGGGATTTCCCCTTAATAATCACCGACCCTGGGAGCACTTTTTAGTTTCCAAAATAAAAATATGATCCTCACCCCTCTTGCTTGACAGGGAAAGGCTCTCGCCGGAGCCCAGGGGGGACAGTAGCAGCGGCAGCCGAGCTTCCTAGTCCATTGCCATCGCCTCTCACTCTGATCTGTCAGCCCAGCCGAGGGAAAAGGGGGGAAGGAGAAAAAAAAAAAGCAGCTGAAAGGTAAGCAGAGGCGGCCCCAGGCCCGGCCCACATCCCCGGGCTCCCGTAGGGCGGCGGGCTGGGCCGCGCGGGCTGGGCGGGCGGCGAGCGCGCTTACGTGAGGCCGGGGATTCGCCGGCCCACGCCAGGCCCCGGGCGGAGAATGAAAGGGTGAGTGGGGCCGGCGCCGGGTGGTGGAGGCCGGGGGCCTGAGGGCCTCCGGGGCGCCCGAGGGCTGGGACGGCGGGTGGGCAGGGGTCCAGCCTGAGCCGGAGCGGGGCGAGCGGCGCGGCCTGCGCGGGCCGGGTGCGGGTGTGCGACGGGAGGGGGTGCGCCGGTAGGCCTCGGGCCGGTAGGCCCCACAGCGGCCGCGCCCTGCCGCCGCACCCCGGGCCTCCGCTCGCCCCCTCGAGTCCCCCGGGCCTCCGGGTGCGACGGCGACGCTGCGGGGCCGAATCCCGCGCCGGCCCGGAGGTTCTCCCGCGGGGCGGCAGGCCCGAGCTGCCGGGACAGGGGCGTCAGGGCCTAGGAGTGGGGAATGGGCGCCCGACCCCACTTCCCTCGGGCATCTAGCAGACGCCCCCCGGATTCCGGTAAGAGTTGAATTTATTTGTCCCCCTCCTCCGCGCTCCGGACGGCCTGGCCGGGGCGGGGCGGGGCGGGCGGCCTGGCGGGCGTGGGGTCGGGTGGAGGGGCGGTGAGGAGTCAGGTGCAGCCGCGGCCCAGAAAGTTTCCTTTTAGGCCCGAATTGGGGGCCGCTGTCTCTCCGGGGAGCCTTGGTCCTAGCGCCTGGGACCCCCCCAGGGCGTGGGGGAGCGCACTCGGCTATTTTGAAACTCTTTGCCAGTTCCTGTCCATTGAAGAAGGTACTCCGCCCCTGCACCCCTCGCACGCGCCCCACCCAACTCCCTGCGAGCCCTTTCGGGGCTGCCAACTCCAGCCCGTTCCCACTAGAGCCCCCCAGGTTGGGGAGAGGGCCTTCTCTTCCGGTTTGGAAAAGTTTGCAAGGGGCTTTTCTTAGCTTTATTAGTTAGTGACTGGGCTTTTTGGGGTGGGAAGGAGGTAAACTCAGGTAGTGTTACTGCCGGACTGTCTTTCCCTATTGCCTTTTTTAGCCCTTACCCCACCAACTGGGGGTGTTATTTTCAGCTTGAGTACCCACCCCCTTTCATCCTGACTCCTTTGGGTCCAAAATCCCCCTTCTGGACAGCTCCGGCGGAGAGGAAGATGTAGGGAACACCGAGGAGACTGTCAGAGGGGCAGGACCAGGCGGGGTTTCTGGAGCAGTCCCCAGATGTAGGAGTTTCCCCTCTTTTTTGGTCGCTGACCGGTAAAACCAACACCGGAACAGATCCCAAGGGGGAGAAGTGGTTGTCAGACGGCTTGGAAGCCTCCGGGATTGGGAGGAGGGGGAGGAAGTGGGCAGGGCAGCTCCTGAAACAAGGTCTACAGTTTCAGGATCAGTAGTTCGTTTATTCTGATAATCACTATTTAGATTTATGTGATATTCTTATATTCGATACTAGAAATAGAATAATGGAGATTTTAAGGAAACCTAAACTTGTTATTGCCACAACTTAGAAGGGTCTGTGGAAGAGCCCTTGGAAAACTACACTTTGGTTTTGGGATGTGTGTGTGTGTGTGTGTGTGTGTGTGTCTATAACATTTATACCGGAAAAAAATATATATGTGTATGTATATATTTTATATGTATTTATACACATATTCTCACACACACACATACACACACACACACCCCTCTATGTTTTCTGTTTAAATGGATTCAATTTTAGCTATATTTTGGTGCCCTGAGCTCTGAACGCTAAAAAAGAGTGATAAACACAAATTTCCAAACTCGATTTCCCGCTTTTCAGGGACAGGATGTTTCCCGTGGCTGTTCTCACCTCCTTGTCGTTGTTCTTGAGTGTTGAAATTGAAATGTTAATGGACCCTGCCCCCACTGCCAACCCCCACTGTGGGCGTGTTTGGAGAGGTTATTTTCCGTCGTTTATTTCTTGGGTTTTTTTCCTTCTCTTTTTGGTGAGCTTAGGGCAGAGTGTTTTGTGTCTGTGCAGTGTCCTGCTTGGTAGCAGGCTGGAGTTTGCTGGCAGGAGATGTCCCACATTCTGCCCATTCAGTGCCCCCAGCACTGTTAGTGAAAAGCTGCCACTTTCAGGGCAATGGGTAACCTACGACTTTCAATGCTGACTTCTGTGAGGCTTCTAAGTGAGACTGAAGTGATTCTTCTAGGTGTATGCCTTTCTTTTCCTTTGGTCTGCCTAACATCAAACTGTTTCTCCACAATGATAGATATCCGGTCATTTAGCATTGAGCTTAAGAAAGTCTTGATATTTGAGATTGTATGGATCTGATACAAAAATGCAAATTACATTTAATGGTTGTTTTAACTTTATTGATTAATTGAAATTGCTTATTGACTTGGACATTTTCATAAACGTGTACCAAAAATTGTTACTTCTATTATAGTTTGTTGTTAGAGCATACTGGATGGAAAAAAATCATTCTTAGTCTTTTTTCTTAGACTTTTAAAGTTTGAAAAAAATTGTTATTGCCTTATAATTTGGTATTTTAAAAGTATATTGTTGACTTCACATTCCTAAGCTTTCCAAAACTATAGGTACAAATACCAAAAAAGTTTTGTACTTTTTCCCACCCTGTCTCAAATATACGTAAATTTCCTAACCTAATCACCTAATGGGCTACTTTACTTCCTGGAGTAATGACAGGTTTGATGTTTTTAAAAGTTACATTCCATTTGAAACTAATAAAAGATTTTCAGGGCAAATACTGAATTAACGTTACATTACTAAGGGAATATGCTTTTTTTTTTTAACTATTAAATGTTAGTTTAAAAAGTAAATGTTTAGTATAATTACAAGTCTGAAATAAGTTTTCTTTCCTCTGGAAGATTTTTAGGAGGAAATTTGTATACTTCATTCCAACTTTTTCTCAGCAAATCATGTTGCTACTGTTTTTAGAGAAATGAAAATTTTAGTTTAAGAGGAATTAAACATTTCTGAGAGCACCCAAAATTAATGTCATTTCAAGAAAAATGCTGAACTATTTATTCTACCTGAGATGTTCTCCGAGGGTTGCCAGCTCTCACTGTCTAGGTTTGGTACAATGGTTATGGCTAGTGAAAGGTCACTTATATTTGAATACAGTTAGAGCAGTATTCTCAGACACTTCTCTTTCCCCCTCCCCCACACCTGATAACTGGTAAAACAGTAGCTGAATATTGTTGGAGGCAGCAAATTGTCCCCAGTGTTAAGTCAGTTTTAGCATGCAGTTCTGTGCTAGGCAAAACAAACAGCGGTAGAGTCTCCTTACTCTTTCAAGTAGGAGTTTGTCCTAGAGGTCCTGACTGTAAAGGCTAATTTCTGACCCCTGGCTAGTTTGAGATACTGGGGAGATACTCAATTTAAAACCCTAAGCCTCCCACTTTTCCCTCCTTGCACCAAAGGTGACAGACGACTTGGTTCTCATCCTTTCACAGAATGTGATTTAAAAAAAAATTTTGAGACGCAATCTTGCTCTTGTCGTCCAGGCTGGAGTGCAGTGGCACGATCTCAGCTCACTGCAACCTCTACCTCCTGGGTTCAAGCAATTCTCCTACCTCAGCCTCCGGAGTAGCTGGGATTACAGGCATCTGCCACCATACCTGGCTAATTTTTGTATTTTTAGTAGAGACGGGGTTTTGCCATGTTGGCCAGGCTGGTCTCGAACTGCTGGCCTCATGATCTACCTGCCTCGGTCTCCCAAAGTGCTGGGATTATAGGCACGAGCCACTGCCCCCGGCTGTGATTTGTTTTGGTGCAATTTTATTTGTAGCAGCAGTGACACCTTTGGACTGGGCTTTGAGTTCTGATCCCAGTCCTTCTGCTGGGCAAGTTACTTAATCTGGTTTCTTTAACTGAAAATGGGAATAAAATTCGTTGATCTAAGGTTTAGATGAGTTACCCATGTGTTTGGCCCATAATAGGTACTCATTAAATGTTAATTCCACTAGCTCACTTTTCTTTTCTTTTTTTTCTTTTTTTTTTTTGTAGCAGGGTCTCACTCTGTTGTCCAGCTTGGAGTACAGTGGCGTGATTACAGCTCACTGCAGCCTCAACCTCCTGGGCTGCAGTGATCCTCCCACCTCAGGTGTGCCTGTAGTCAGCCAGGACTACAAGCACTTACCACCATGGCCCAGCTAATTTTTGTATTTTTTGTAGAGATGGGTTTTGCCATGTTGCCCAGGCTGGTCTCAAACTCCTGGATGCAAGGGATCTGCTCACCTCAGTCTCCTCAAGTGCTGGGAGTACGCATGTGAGCCACCACGCCTGGTCTCCACCTTTCTTTTCTAGGAGCAACATCTAAATACTATTTCTCTTGTTTGCTTTTTTAAATAATTGAAAGTAACACTGTACTATATGCACTGTAGTAGGCTTATACTATATTTGGAGAGTAGACCTGTTTTTCCCGCTCAAGGGATAACCACTGTTAACACTTTAGTGTGCTTTTTCTCTGTATGTATATACATACAGCAGAAACAGGAAAAACTAAGTGTAGGTCCACGTAACAGTAGTTGTGTAGTTTGGTATTGATTAAAAGCTTGGGCTCTGGAGCAAATAGTCTTTGCATCCTAAATGTGTGACCTTGGATAATGAAAATTACTTAATCTGATTAAGTCTCAATTTTCTCCATCTGTAAAAGGGGCAATAATAGCACCTACTTCATAGGGTTACTGTGAAGACTAAATGAGGAGTTGAACATAAAGCCTTTAGAATGGATCCTAGTGCGTAACCTTTTTATTTTCCTGGTGCATAACTTTTCCTGGTGCATAACTTTTCTATTTTTTTCTAAAGATTTTTAATATTCTTGATGTGAATTTTTAATGAGTTCTTGCCTCAGTATATATTAATAATACTAATAAGTATTTGAGAACAGAGAGAATACTATAATTACTTTAATGGGGCAAATAAATATATTTTTGCCAGTAAAAAATTATGCAGTATATTCAGTTTCAGCAGCTTCATGTTAGCGTAGCCTCCGCTGTTTGAATTTGGAACTGGCTAATATAAAGGTATGGTAAGTACACCGAGGGCAAAGGAGTACAGGGTGGGTTTGCTTTACTCCTGGTTCCCCTCTTTCAGATTTTGAAGTGTTTTTGAGAGTCCCCGAGCACGGTAGTGTTGTGTTGTTTTGAAGGCACTGAATAGTTTGTGGTCTTGGTAGGCTCACTTTAAAAGTCCTGAGGATGTTTACCTGACTTGATTGGTAGGAGTTGCTGCCGGCTCATTCATTTAACAGATTAGCTTCTTTGTTATAGCTCAGAGCTTTGCAATACAAAGACGCATTCTCTGCCCTTGTGGAGGTTTTAGTCCATTGGAGAAGAGAAATAAGCCGACATTTACAATGTCAATGTGAATGTTAAGTGAAAGCTTAGTCTGGAGGAATATTCTTCTATTCTGGCCTAAAGGGCAAGCTTGGTTTTAAAGTTAGGGCTTTTCATGGGAGGTTTCTTTCCTAAGCAAACGGGAGGACTTAGGCATTCCAGAAGGTAGGACCTGTAAGTACAAATCAAAGTTTAGGGACAAAAGAATATCTTGTGCTGCAGATGGTGGTTCTGTTACTGCCTATAAGTCGGAGGAGGAGGGGAATAAATAATGAAAGGGAAAGGTCAGTCTGGCCGGGTCCTAAGGAGTTTTCGTGTTAGGTTAAGGAGTTTGGATTTCTTTTACATTACAAGTAGACCCTGAAGGCCTTTGGCCAAATAAATTCTTTGAGATTTAGAGGATTTGAGCTGTACTGAGCAGCAAAAAGAAGGGCAAGACCATGTAATTAGACCAGTGAGGCAGCTCCTGACAAGAGATTTGAAGAGGATTTGAATTAAGGTGTAGTAGCAATGGCAGTTGAGAAGAGGAGGTGGCAGTGGCAGAGGCAGTGGGACTCATCCTCACGGATGGCAGCGGAAATGGTAGAAGTAGATACATATGGGCTAGTCAGTGATTCTTAGTCTTGGACACTTCTCCAGAAAAATGCACATAAGCATTT